ATCTGCCGCCATTTTCACGGCAAATGAAAAGCACATGGTGTTGAAGTGCGCCTGCGATCCCAGTTTCGGAGGAAGCCACTGAAACAATATGATGCGGTGTGAACGCAGTATTGACGTGTCAAAATACATTCAATTTTTTCGATTATCTTGTAACATTCAGAAATTATTTTACTGGGGACAGAAAGGTGAGTTGTATACTAGCTACCATATCCGATTGATTTCCTAATATAAAGATTTAAAAATAAAAGTGGTGTCATGGTTTTCTTTAGTTATCAGACAAAACACGAATCGCCAGCTGGTGACCAGTTCTGAAAATTTAGTCGCCAGTGCTCAATTTTTGATTGCATTGGCAACCAGTGAGTCGCAATTTCAAGCCCTGATTTTAGCTCTTCCAGTCACGATTATTTTTTTGGCTTGTTAGCGCTTACAAAAAGTATAATTTTCGGGTCAAGTTTTGCTCTTTTCAGGGCAAAATATGTAAGGCCGTCTCCACTAGAAAATAAAAATCCAAACAACCTCAAAGGTAGAGGTTTGAAATAAGTTAGTAAAAACCTTCTTCCTANTTAAAAATAAAAGTGGTGTCATGGTTTTCTTTAGTTATCAGACAAAACACGAATCGCCAGTTGGTGACCAGTTCTGAAAATATAGTTGCCAGTGCTCAATTTTTGATCGCATTGGCAACCAGTGAGTCGCAATTTCGAGCCCTGATTTTAGCTCTTCCAGTCACGCTTATTTTTTTTGGCTTGTTAGCGCTTAAAAAAGGTGTAATTTTCGGGTCAAGTTTTGCTCTTTTCAGGGCAAAATATGTAAGGCTGTCTCTGCTAGAAAATAAAAATCCAAACAACCTCAAAGGTAGAGGTTTGAAATAAGTTAGTAAAAACCTTCTTCCTAACAAAGTTTCAGAAAATCGAGTTTTCCTATCCTGCATAGGTATAGGTGACCGTTAGAGCAAGCTGCTCTTAATTATTAACCATTATACACTATCACCCTTACTGGTATTCAGACTGCATTTCAGACCATGTGATGCAATTCTGGAGATGAATTTTCAAATTTGGTTATGTTCGCATGTATATGAATGCACAGTTTTCACCAGGTAAGGCAGTTGGTTTTGTACAAATGTTGTATGATGTAAATTAGGTCATGATTTATACGCCTATTTGTTTCTTTCAGCCGACCACAGCCAGTGGAGTAACAGAACAAGTTCAAATAAATGGTATGTGGTAATTCTAGGCTTAAAAATTGTGTTTCTCCATACCCTGGGTAAAAAGACTATTGCCTTTGCTTGCTCATTTGTTG